TAGTTACCAGTCTGGTAATTTTTTTTCTTTTTTTTTTTTTTTTGCTAGTGAGAATTTGCCACAGGAGCCTTCCTTTATGCTATTTCCTAATCTGACATTACCTAAAATTTACTTTTATTTCACCGTTTGAGGCAATAATTTTTTAAATGATGATTATGGTCACTGAGCCTATTTTAAGCTGTAGCAATTAGTTTCCATCTTGACATCACATGTTTCAAGCCTTGATGTTTTTATACCCCTTTCTTGCTCAGGTGTTTTGGGAAAAGATGTGATTTTYTACCTGGCTTATTTCAAAGTTTATTTTTTTCAGGTGGTAACCTTGCCTATTTAGAGTTATGTAGGCTGAAACTACATAAACATTGAAAAACATTCCTTTGAAGTCACGTGTCCTGAAATTTCTTTACTGATTATTTACCTGTATGATTCATCTTAACTCTGATGAACCTGGATTAATTATGACAAGAACAGTCCAGTTCTGCAGAGCTGTTCCACAGCACCAAAAGAAGTTAAAGTAAGGGAACAATAGAATGAATTAGAAGTGTTTTCTCTGAACATCAGCTTAGAGTCCCAACCTCTGTGGAGTAGATGTGCTAGTATGATACCTTTGTGAAAATTGAAAAGCTTTGTAATAGATATATTTTAACTGTGTTGCTTGTTCTGTTAAGGCTCCAGGTTACGGAGATGTTCGGTTGTCTTTGGAGGCAATCCCAGATACTGTAAACCTAGAAGAACCTTTTCATATTACCTGTAAAATAACTAACTGCAGGTAATGCCAATGTTTGTAGTTGGGTGTCCTTTCCTTCTCCYCTATCTAAAAGAAAATTTTTGATCTCTTAAATATTCAGTCTCCTTTTTAAGTTTCCTCTTGACATGTAGACTTTCTGATGTTTGTGTCAAATACTGTGAAGATCTTCATCTTTTAGCAGTATATTACATATCTTTGAGATCCTATTGTATTATGCATTTCCTGTATTTTTCATTCATTCATCGTACACTAGGTGGGTGGATATTAATTGTTTACATTTACACCTTGCCAAAAAAAAAAAAAAATCCCTAACATACCCTTTGTGCACAGAAAAGAAAGCCAACTCAGAGGTTGAATTTTTCAAATTCAGAGTTAGAATAGATGGGACCAGGGTTTGAAACCAGATGTATTTGACTTCAAAGTCTATGTTCTTTTCACTGTTTAAATTTTCTTCACACTTCAGATTACTAAAGCATGAACTATGGGTTCTCATGGAATTTTACAGATATAAAATATTAAGGTAGGGTTTTCTGAAGCATACACTTGAGCTATATCTTTAGTATTAAGAAACCAAAACTTGGTTATGAATATAATATAAGGGATAATCATAGGTTGGAAAACAGTTTTGATAATAAARAGAGAAGAAAATGTAGCTATTGAGAGGCAAAGAACACAGGGCTTTGAAGTGAAAATAATAATAATAATTTAAATCCCAATCCTTTCACTTTTGCAAGTACTCATATTACTATTTGATGTGTCTGATTTGTTGGGGTAATTTGATAGTATTGCAAATGCTGATCCCGTCCTCTATAGTTTGAATATATAATCCTTTAATTCCATATCTGTTCCAGCCTTTTGCTATTAGTGAAATGGAAAATATTCATATATTCAACAAATATGTGAAATAAGAATGAGAAAAGAATATGTTACGGATTAAATTCAGAAATACTTATTTCCTCTATGAAGTTACCTAGATTTTCCCAAGCATAGTTAATCATGGTTCTCTGCCATTGTAAATTCTACTTTAGTTTTTTAGGAACCCTTACAAATAACTTAGTTTCTCCCTTAATGATTTGTGAGTTAAGAAAAGCTGTCTTACCCACTTTATAAATGCAGTTTCTGCCACATCATAAGAGCTCAGTAAATAGCAAGGCACCCAAGRTAAATAACTGTGTTCAACAGGTATGTTAGGGAATTTTTTTGTTTTTTCAAGGTGTAAGCAAATCAGTTTATAACTGGCAGTGTAAAAGTTTGAAAGTTAATTTATTTTTTGACCTTCACTTTAACTGCTCATGATTCAAATAAGTTTTCTAAAGGCACTTAGATCTTCAGCTGCCTCATCTATAAAAATATGATCCCCTCCCCCACATACACACAATACACACAGAGAACATACATACAGTATGTACAAACCTTACTGGGTGCTTATGGAATTTAATGAGGAAATTTATGTAGTACATCGAACCTAGTTTCTGGCATATAGTATTTAAAATGTTAGGGAATTGAGACTATAAAAGTTAATGTCATCAAGTCAATATGTCTAAAAAATGAATAAACTAAAATTTAAATAAGTATTTTAAAATATGGATCCAACTATGGGAAGGGGTAAGAATTGAAAGCAGCCATGAATGATGGTATAGAAGACTGTCTTTCATTGTGAGCTTTTTGTCATACTTTAGCTAGATGACCTAGTGACAAGTCTTTTCATAGTAAATAAAACCATAAGCAAGCATGAATAGTATTTACTTCTTATGAATCTTGTCATTTTTCTAAGTTGTATGCATGCTAAAGGAACAGATCGGTTTTCAAAAGCACTAGACCAGACTCTGTTTCTCATTTTCTTTCCTGTAATAGAAATAATAAGAGTACAGTGAAACAACACGAGGCACAGAAGTTTCCCAGAGAAATGGCAGTCATTAACAAATTAGCACTAGGGAACCAGTGTTCAACAATAGAACCAGAAAACTGATTTCCAGAGGCAGATTAGGTTAAAGCCATTTTAAGCCTCAGAATATGCCATCTCCTTTCATTTTCCTGACTCTCTTAATATAAAAATGATAAATAGCTTTTCATTTCTCTTTGTTTTGTTCTCCTGCATATTCAGAAAGCAAATTTACTAAAAAGGAAAAATAAATAAATAAAGGAGAAATACTAATATCTCCATGTGAAATGAACAAGATTTATTCCTGTTTTTCTGATTCCCCCAGCAGTGAAAGAACGATGGATCTGGTTTTGGAAATGTGTAATACCAGTTCTATCCATTGGTGTGGTATTTCAGGAAGACAGCTTGGAAAGCTACATCCAAGTTCTTCTCTCTGCCTTGCCCTTACTCTGCTGTCTTCGGTACAGGGACTACAAGTATGTTCTCTTTTCAATGATTTCAAGTATATGGGGGCTAATTTATAGTCATTTATTATAGCCATATTTTCTCTAATAATTATCAGTGATTAAAAACTGAGGCCTTCATCTTTCTCTCAATAGAGTGTTTCCGGCTTAAGAATAACAGACACATTCTTAAAGAGAACATATGAATATGATGACATCGCACAAGTCTGTGTGGTATCTTCAGCCGTTAAAGTGGAAAGCTAAAGGAAATTCCCAGTGTTATATTTTTTTTTCATTTGTTTTCGCAGAACTGCTTTCTGTATTTTTTTCACCTTTGTGAAATGTTCAAATCAGTAGCAAAAAATAAGTATATATTGTTTTTCTTTCCTGTAAAAGTTCAAATATTAAATATTTGTTTTGAGAAGAATCAATTTTATCTTGTGAGTTATATTCTTAAGTGGACATTTTTATGTTTTCTATACTTTGCTTCATTTTAGGTGACCTTTGGACTTTGTTCTACAAAAGTTCTATATTTGAGGCCATTTGTCCTTAGCAAGTACCTAGAACAGTAGTCAGCAAACTTTTTTAATAAAAAGGGCAAAATACCAAATATAGTGCAAGAGCAGCTGTAGGCAAAAAAAAAAAAAAAAAGCACAGTGGTATTTATGAAAAAAGGCAGCTTACTGGATTTGACCTGTGGGTGACAGTTTGCTGATCTCAATCTGGAAGATAAAGTTGTTTCTTTGAATTTTAGAATTCTCACAATACAGAAAGGATTGTTTAAAACAAATGGGGTAGTCCCCCGTAACCTGATAATTTGTTAACACAGTATGAACTTTTCTAGTTATTCTCAAAATCATTGTATTGGTATGTGTTGTGTTTGTGTATACATAAAAATAAATCTAACTTTCAGATACTGAACAGCAGATCAAAATTCATTTATTTCTTAGTTGGTTGTTGATTTAACTTTTCACTAAAATGCCTAATAATGACCTAATTCTAAGCTACAAACTCCTAGATTTTTCCCATTGAAGATTTTTCCCATTGAAAAATGAACTGTTTTCATTACACATATTTAAAGGAGTCCCACCTTCTAATATTTGATTTTAAACTCTAAATCATGTATTAATATTATAAAACTGTCTCTCCATGTAATCACATTTATGCCATGAACAAAAACAGTGAAAGAAATAAGGCTTTAAATACTTTGCAACATAAATTTCACTGTTTTGCCTGGCGAAAAAAAAGGTTATACCCCTAAATAAAATCATTCTATTTCGTAAGCTGAAATTGAAGAATGTGTAGTTTGTTAAATATAAGAGTACATTAAGTCAAATACAAAAATTGGTTTTTCTTGAATGCATAATTTATTGCCATGACAAATTTTGCTCAAAATGAAAGCTATATTCAGAAGAGTTGCCCCTCAAATAAGAGTTAATGAGATATCTATGCAAAATAAAGTGCAAGCAGTGTAAAACTGAAGTATTCATTCTTCCAAAATGACTTAAGATTAATCAAATGATGAAATAAGACTATAGCCACTGCACTGGGTACTTTGATTGTTTTTCAGGCATCTTCTCATGACTGGAACCTGTTTCATTCTTTCAAACTTWAACATAATAGTCAATTTAAATCTGCTGTATACATTGACTTAAGTACAGTCTCTTCTATTTATAAGTAACATTATTTAAGTAAARATTAGATAATACCATTTTAGAAAGGATCTGTGTTCAACTTATATTATAAAAATCAAATTAACAATTTGGTACATTAAATGAAAATGTCACTTGCATAAAAAGGACATGTTCTGTTTTCTATAGCATGGTTACAGCTACTACAATGAAATGTGTGTAATAAAAGTCAAGCATTCCTTATTAGAATGTCTGTATATAAAGATTTACTTTAATGCCCTCTTTTTTTCTCTGAGAAGTGACTATATTTTCCAGACAAGGAATAATAATTTTCTCTATAATTTTAAAAATAGCACAATCAAATCACACAAAACTTTCTTGAAATGGCTTCTAATGCAATGATTCCAAAGTGATGAAGGGACCTGAAGAGTAAAGCTGGCTTGCCTTGAATGGAATCCACATAAGTGGACAGGTGTCATCTGGATTGAATTTGTTTTGGGTGATATATTCTCAAAGAAACAGCATGAAATGGAACACACCAGTTCCCATAATTTCATATTAAAAGAATGGCTCCCTTTAACTACAGATGCTAGCACATGAAGGCAGTGTTTTAAAGTGTTTTCTTATGATTCTCTTTGATTCTGTTATCCAGGTACCACTGGCCAAAATAAAAAAATGAGTTGGAAAGTGTTTCTTCCTCTTCTGTTTCCTAGAACACAATGAGTAGATTTGATATTAATTTCTCCCCTATGTGTTCAGTAGAGTTCACCATTAAAGTCATCTGGCCCATAGTTTTCTTTCTTGGAAGGTTTTTTATCTATAAACTCAACYTTGTAAAATATAGGTCTATTCAGGCTGTTTCTCCAGTGAGCTTTGGTAGTTTTTACCTTAGAAAGAATGTCTGTYTCATCTAAGTTGTAAAATATATAGATCTAGAGTTAGTCATAGTGTTTATAATTACCCTTTTATATCTACAGGGTCTTGGGTATATCTGCTTTTTTTTTTTCCTCTTTGTGCTAGAGATGTATAAACCCACCATTTCCCATAAGCTCTCTGCCACTAAGCTACATCCCCAGCCCTCCTCTTTAATTTCTGATAATAGACTACTAATTTGTATATTCTATTTTCATAGTCAGCTATAGGCTTATCAAATTTTATTGATCTAAAAGAATATTTAATGCACTCAAAATAGGAATGCTAAAAACATTAACTTATTATTAAACACTGAAATAAGAATGACTAGTTTTAAGGATCGGCTTTGTTCTTTTTAATCACAACTGTAAATCCTGTTTGATTAGTACTTCATTCTTTCATAACACTTAAACACTAGGAGCTGTGTGTAACTTCGTAAAAAATTAAGATGGATTAGATGCAATATAGGAAATTTAATTTCAGAGGGCCTGTTCTTCTCTGGCCTTAACTATAGGTTCACACAGTTCTTTCATTTTGGCCCAAGTCCAAGTAGATAAGTATTTGTTRGTCTAGTTGGGGAGAAATCTAATATCACTGTAAATTTGATTCCTGGACCTACCTCTAAACCGGTACACTACTTAAAATGCTGATTCCTAGGTCTTAATACAATATTTACTAAGTAAAAATTGATAGTGTGGCCCTCATTCTGCAGATATAATGAATTCCCCCAGGTGATGATTACACTGAAATTACAAAACCATGGTTCATGGTTCTTATCTCACAAAGGGGGAAAAAAAGGAGAAACTTCAGTGTATCAAATAGTCTTTTTAGAACTGTTATAGTAAGGCCCTTATTGCATCAATTTTACAAAATTTTTTAATTACCTTCTTTTTCAGTTTTCCCTCATAACACTTATAAAATCATTACAGGTTAGCCTACTTCACCAATTTCAAGATTAACAACAAAATCCCAGTTGGAATTAGACCTGTCTTATTTTCCCCTGTACTTAAAACCATGCCATTAGTACCTAATGGCATTTCCCCTACCAACCAATATGGCATCTAATTTATAATAARAAATGTTATGTCTCCTGTTATATTTAAATTGCCTCAAATTAAGGTTAAGCATAAGATTGGCATGCCAAGCCAAATTATAGCAGAGGATTGCATGAACAAGCAATGTTACTAMTAGATGCATTTTTTAATCCATCAAATAATTATTACTTTTTTAAAAAAAAATCAATGTTTATGAGTATATAATTAAATTCCACTTAGAAAATCCTTAATTTAGGGTCAAGCCATTGGCTTATTTAAATATAGGTATATTTGGTAATTTTCAAACCTAAGTTTACCACCAGGGAAATTGTGGTAATTAAGTTGAACAGTTACATATCACTAACCTAATCAGTATAAATAAGGATTTCTAAGTGTTATTTTATTATATACTTATCATAACTGGCCATGCTAATGTTATTGATATTGAACTGCAGACAAGATTATTTAAGAACTATGCAGAAAACCTGAGCATCCTACCTTTACTTTACATATAAATTCACATTATTTTTTCTCTTCATAGCATCCCTTGTACCAAATAACTGCTTTCCACAAGCTCTTAAAGACTCCCTGTCACTCATCAAGACAGCAGCATCAAAAACAGTACTGACACCTATGACATATATTGACAGCGCTTATCAAAGCTAAACCTATGTAATAAGTTTCTTTTCCTGACACGCTTGTCAAGTGACAAATATATTTCTTCTCTACCTGCATAGGATACTTTTTCACTTAGTCCTATCTTCCTGCTTAAAAAAAACCTTCCTGAAGGGAATTAAGAGCTAAAGAACTCACCAATAAACAGTCCTACTATTCAATAAATATACTCTGCTAGTAAGTCTAATATACAAATATGATGATAAAAGTTTCAAAATGGATGGAACCTTGTTCCAGTGCCATACTGACACTTAACAAGGCTACTAATCATTTGCTTCCAAAGGAGTCTGTTATGTTCACCTCTGTTTGTGATAAACCTATTATCTAAACAGAATTATTCTTTAAGAATATACACAAGAGGTTTTCCTTCATTATTCTCACACATCAGATATGGTGCTTTTGTTTTTGTTTTTTGTTTTTGGCTACTATCTACAGTGAATACTTTGGAGCCATAAAACATTTATATTCTGGGCCATATTCTGATCAAATCAGGAATGTTCTTCAGTGCTGCTGCTGAAGGATCTGCTCCGGATGTGATTTCTCAGTTGCTCTATAAGTTCAGGATTCTGTTGTTGTATTTGCTGAGCAAACTGCTGTCCCCTGTAGTAAAGAGGCAAAATAAATTAGGGAATTTCCAGTCATATAATATCCATGCAMAAATAAGTTCAGAAGATGTGAGACTACCTAAAAGAAACTCTTCCTATAAAACAAGTTTTAGAATCATGACTTTCCCAATAGCATTATACATATAGCATTATTAATAGTGTACACACTGACTCTCAACCTTCTATGATCAAATGAAGAAAACAAAATACCCAAGCTAAAAAATGAGTGCCTGGATTGGGTGAATCCACAATAAGCAAAGGGCTTAGGAAATGCATTTATGGTAATATACTCTACTCTTTTAAAGTCTTATTACTTTCTTATAGGACAAGGTGTGACAGTTTGAGATGCTTACAGACATTACCTAACAACAGATTTAAAAAGGCAAAGAAGTTTCCTAAATTTGTGACCTCAGTTATATGTGTCAGAATCATAATAATCATGTTAAAGATCACTCTAAAAATACAGTATTCTAAGAGATCATAATCATGATCAAAAGCAGCAAACGGTACTTGTGGCATCATATAAAACTTCCAGTTGACTACATCAGACACAGATTCAAAAAGCAAACTATCTTAAGCAATCTGGATACAAGTAAAAGAAATGTGCTCAAATGAGAACATATAACAAATTTCTCTAGTGATAACAGATACTGAAAATTTTGAGTAAAGGTATGAACATTAATACATGTAACATGGTTTCATTTATTTATTTTCACTTATTTTTGCAGTGTTGGGGATCAAACCCAGGGCCTTGGAAATGCTCACCAAATATTCTACCACTGAACTAAACACAATATAAAAATATATTTTAGGTRGATATTTGACTTTTATATCCCTTTTATATCAAATCTGTCAAAAAAAAACTTTTTCTTGGGTCTTCACTGGTAAAAATGGAAGATTAACTGCTTTACATATGAGATTATAATATACTTGTATTTAAGATTCTTACTGTTTCTATGCCCTTACAAGTAGCAGGTCACCAATCCTTAGGCTCCTCTATAAATGAAGATGATAGTACTAATAACCCCAAGTAAGAGACCGAGGACCCTAATTTCATACTGACAACAAAGTAAGTAACCAAAAATTAGGCTGCAAATCAAAAGAATAAATATACACCAAACCCTGCCATTGATGCTCTGAACTCCTGAGTAAATCACTAACTTGTACCTCAGTTTTTCTACCTATTGAATAGAGATGTAAATTGCCTACTTCTAATTTCTGTCCTTCAAGATTTTTCTGATACTTTAAGATCCATTGGGAAGGGAAAAATGTATACTGAACACATATGATTGCTCTTCTTAAAAGACAGAGCTAGATAGGTGACTCATCATGTCTTTTGGATTCCTGCCTTTCAATCTGAAAAGTAACTCCTACTTATGAACTGTTTTCAGTTTTAATAACTTTAAGGAGACAATGATATTAACAGTAAAAGATTTAAAAAGCAGCAACAGCAGCAAGCCCTTGCCCCTCACCTTAGAAAATAAATTTTCATTACTTCTGTTTTAAGTGAGACTTACGCTTGGATGAGGCTAGACAGGTCAGTTAGGCCTCCAACTCCAGCAGCAGGTCCTCCAATGGCATTTGTCATCATTCCTGACATTCTATGGTATGCAAAAGATGTATCACTGAGATTAGGATATATTCTTAACAAATAGGGTAACTGGACAAAAAAAAAAGCTAAGCCTACATTATGTAAGAGGTTAGATCAAATTGTAGTTTCAAATTTTAAATGACTGGCATTCAGGGAAGTATTAAAATTTAGGTACTGTGCTCAACTTAAAAGACTGGCAAGTAGAAGAGAAAAATGTAACAAGCTCCTTCTGTGTACTTACAGCTGTTGAACTTGTGGGTTCTGCATTAAACTTGCTGCCTGGAATTGAAAAATAGTACTTCCCATTAAAGGTAGTCAATAGGGATCTTTAACAAAGATTTTTTTTAAAGGTATGAAAACTAAACCATGTAAGTACTAGCATCCTGTAGAGACTCAGTGCTACACAAAGTAAATGGGAAGGTAAAAATAGGAGATCTTGGGAAAACTGACATTAAAAATATTACAAGGCTAATGAGATTCAATACTATAAATAGCACTATAAACTAAGGCTATTGATAGCAGTTCACTTACTATTGCTGATCAGATCAATTAAACCAAAAGGAAAAATAGAAACTTTAAAAGTATAAAGAATCTGGGGCTGGGTTTGTGGCTCAGTGGTAGAGTGCGCACCTTGCACATGTGAGGCACTGGGTTCGATCCTCAGCACCACATAAAAATAAATAAAGTTATTGGGTCCATCTACAACTAAAAAAAAAATCTCCTACACTTGAAAGGGTCCATTCCAAAAGACCCTTTGGATGTGACTGCTCTGTGTGGCTTTCAGAATGGACTAGAAAAGCCCTTTCTCAGTAGGACTGAGATGAAAGCAGGATTCCCACTTCATGCATGAAGCAGGGCTCTGAAACTCTTAATAACTCTCCAAAACCCCATTTCTTATCTATCAAGCTGACTTTTAGCAGGGAATTTAGAAGGGAGCTTTTAGAAGCTCCCTTCTAAAAAGTCCTGAGCTGGAAATTCCAGCTACTCAATTCCATGGCATCACACATGCTAAGCATGTGTTATATCATCAGCCCTGACCCAAGTACTGGGGATTAAACCCAGGGTCATTTTACCACTGACCTATATATTCCCAGTGTTTTTGGGTTTTTTGTTGTTGTTGTTGTTGTTGTTTGTTTGTTTGTTTTTTGAGACAGGGTCTTGCTAAGTTACCTGAGTAAGCCTTGAACATAAGATCCTCCTGCCTCAGCCTCCCAAGAAGCTGGAATTACAGGTGTGCACTACCTCTTTCAGTAGCCCTGACTCAATTTTTAAGAGTCAAAAATATGTTTTTAATCATTGCCTTATTTAACTCCTGCATGGTGGTGTCATGCCCTATTTTGGCACATAGCACTTTGGAGCCTAAGTCAAATCTAAAAAGAATTTCATTTTTATGTCTTACATAAAGACAATAGCATAACCTGAATCCTGAAAGTGGGTAAGTAGGTTTAAAAAATGTCACAAACATTACAGACTTCTTTGCCAGTAAGTTGGTAATAAATTTGATGGTAGGGTGGAGGTACTACCAACGCTCAAAAGACATCCTAATCTCACTGGAAGTGAGTCATCTGCATTTCAACTGCTTTGGATGGATCCATGACATTTATTTGAAGGAACCAAAGATAAATAAGAACTGATTTCCTGCCTTCCAGGGGCACAGGTATGACAGTATGTTTCCTCATCCAAAGTATATAGTCCTCTAGGGAGCTTTGTATGCCCAGGTAACAGCCTATACCCACTAAATCAAATTTACCACACAATGGATCAAAGAATGTATGTTTTCCAAAAGATTCCTAAGTTATTTTGTTGGTTTGTATAATAGAATTTATATATGAGAGTCTGACATGAAAAGTTCAGATACACTTTTTTTTTCCTTGTGGTGCTGGGTTAACAAGAGCTTTACACAAGCTAGGCAAACACTTTACCACTGAACTATAGCCCCAGCAACCCCAAATAATTGCTTAAGCTGAATGCTGAGCGACAAGCTTAAAGAATCACTATATTCTCAATTCTCRGACTTAAATTCTTAGATATATCTTCCTAGGACCAGTTTCACATAAGAAATTTAACCTTCAGTGTAATTGCAGATTCCCATGCCAATCTGACGAAAAACATGGTTTTCTCCTAGAAAAGCACACATGTTCACAGATTTTTATATTCATTCCACTGTGGGGAACTTAGGGGCTTTGTGACTCCATGTCTGTCTTCTTTCAGAGGCAGGTAGACCGGTGAAGCATCCCTGCCTTAGCCTCTGCCCCCAGTATTTCACTACCACCACCACAGAAGCTCCCTTCTAAAAAGTCCTGAGCCAGAAATTCCAGCTACTCAAAGGCAGGAGGATCACTTGAACTGAAGAGTTGGGGACAGCTTGGGCAACATGGCAAGACCCCCATCTCTTAAAAGACTATGGAAAAAACGAAAGTTTGGAAATACAGCTCTAGGTAAAACAGTCAGTAAAAGGAGATATACTCACCATACTAATGAAAGCTGGATTATTTATCAAACTAGCCATGTCGAAGCTCAATCCAGTTCCTGTCTGTGGAAGAGTTATATCTAAGAATCATTSCAACCACTAAAAATTAATTTCAATAAATTATGAATGACAGAAAATATTTCACTCATTCTGCATTAACAACTTACAGGACTAGATACCTCTCTTAACTTCTGTTCTGCTATTTTCAGATTTGACTTATAGGAATCATTTTCAGGGTCAAGATCTAATGCCTTTTGATAACTTGTAACTGCTTCTTCAAATTTATTCATAGCAGTGAGGGCCAGCCTGAAGAAAATACAGGGTAAATATAGAGTATAAGAGTTATGCTAAAGAACATCAGGAAATCACAAAGTCAAATCTTATTAATTCAAATTCATATTATACTTAAATGATTAATATTGTACTGTGTGGGTTCACAAGAGTATCACCAAAATTCCCTCTAATTCCAAGATTTTATAAATCTTATTTCTCTCTATTCTTCTTGCTGAAAAGTTTGGTTATACCATGTGGATTGTGAACATAATGCTTAGAGATGACCTTTATCTGCCTTTCCCTTTTTTAAGCCTAATATTGAGGTAATTTGCTTTATGAATGCCTGGAGTGAACTCTGCRAAGATTCGTGCTGACAACCCTGTGGTCATGTAAATCCATGATGCTAGTTCCATTTTTAAAAACTCTAAAATATATCTATGCTTCAAAACATCCCACATTCTTTCTTCCTAACAGTGTCTTTCAGCAACCATAAATATGAGTTTTCTATTTAAAAAGTAAGCTACAGGGTATCAGATGACTATCCTTAACAAGACATTTTTGTTAAATAGAGAAAATTAGCATTCTTTACAACTCAAATAACAAATTATTACCCAGGCACAAATAAAAATTAGTTATTAAATGTTAATGTTTGTCTGCACCTAGTTATAATTTATTTATTGGAAAATTACTTCAGAACGAAACAATAATGCTATATATAGAAAGATAGTATTGGGGGGTTTTGTTTGTGCTGAGATTGTTTTTAACATATTAATCCAATTTTTTTTCTTATTCTGACTTACCTCAGAGACTTTTGATTAAGAGAAACTACAGTATCAACCACAGAGAAATTSTCACAACCTAATTAATTTTCCACCCATCAACCCTGAAAGATACTTAATCAGAGTCCCCAACCTTAATCAACAGTCAATAAATATTTATTAAAGTCTTATTATATACCAGGACTATTGTGAATACTCAGGATTCCACAATGAAAAAGATAAATTTTCTCACGTTAAGAAAAGCTCATTCTACTTGGGGAGGACAGGCATCAAATATGCAATCAAAAAGAATAGATACTAAAGAGAATAAAGAAAGAGCTGCTCAAAAATGCCACACTGAGATGACCTATTTGACATGAAAAAGCGGTTACCAGRAAATCAGGGGAGGAGTATTCTAAATAGAAATAGCAGTAAACACAAAGTCCCTAAAAAAGATGAAAGCTTGGTATGCTTAAAGTATAGGAAAAAGACTGAAGAGGAAGGAGCACAGAAAATAATGTAGAAAGAGATGATGTCAAAAARTAAAATACTTGGGAATCAACTTAATGAAAGAGGTAAAGGATCTATATGAATGAAAATTACAGAACACTAAAAGAAAGAAATCAAAAAAAACCTTAGAAGATGGAAAGATCTACCTTGCTCTTGAATAGGCAGAATTAATATTATCAAAATGACCATCCAAAAGCACTGTACAGATTTAATGCAATTCTGATAAAAATTCCAATGACATTCCTCATAGAAATAGAAACAGCAATCATGAAATTCATCTGGAAAAATCAAAGACCCAGAATAGTTAAAAACAATCCTTAGCAGGTGGCATCACTATACCAGGCCTTAAACTATACTACAGAGCAACAGTAACAAAACCATCATGGTATTGGCACCAAAACATAAGATCCTCCTGCCTCCTCAGCTTTTAACCTGAACACTAGGTAGTTATGTTCTATAAAGCCTCCATGAATTAGCAAATACCAATGGTACAGACTAGAGGACACAGAGACTAACACACAAAGCTACAATTATCTTATATTAGACAAAGGTGCCAAGAACATGCATTGGAGAAAAGATAGCCTCTTCAACAAATGGTGCTGGGAAACTGGAAATCTATATGCAACAAAATGAAATTAAATTCCCATCTCTCACCATGCACAAAACTCAACTCAAAATGGATCAAGGACTTAGGAATACAACCAGAGACCCTGTGTCTAATAGAAGAAAAAGTAGGCCCTAATCTTCATCATATGGGATTAGGCCCCAACTTCCTTAATAAGACTCCTGTGGCACAAGAAGTAAAATCAATAATCAATAAATGGGATGGACTCAAACTAAAAAGTTTCTTCTCAGCAAAAGAAACAATCTGTGAGGTGAACAAAGAATCTACATATTGGGAGCAAATCTTTACCTCTCACATCAGATAGAGCACTAATCTCTAGGGTATATAAAGAACTCAAAAAGCTAACCACCAAAAAAACAAATAACCCTATCAATAAATGGGCCAAGGACCTAAAGAGACAMTTCTCAAAAGATGTACAATCAATCAACAAACACATGAAAAAATGTTCATCATCACTAGCAATTAGAGAAATGCAAATCAAAACTATTCTAAGATTTCATCTCACTACAGTCAGAATGGCAGCTATGAAGACAAACAACAATAATTGTTAATGAGGATGTGGGGAAAAGGTACACTCATACACTGCTGGTGGGACTGCAAATTTGTGCAGCCAATATGGAAAGCAGTATGGAGATTTCTTGGAAAGTTGGAAATGGAACCACCATTTGACCCAGCTATCCCTCTCCTCCGTCTATGCCAAAGGACTTAAAAACAGCATACTACAAGGACACAGCCACATCAATGTTTATAGCAGCACAATTCACAATAGCTAAATTGTGGAACCAACCTAAATGCCCTTCGATAGATGAATGGATTTTTAAAATGTGGCATATATACACAATGGAATACTACTCAGCAATAAAAGAGAATAAAATCATGGCATTTGCAGATAAATGGATGGAGTTAGAGAAGATAASGTTAGCCAATCCCAAAAAAACCAAATGCCAAATGTTTTCTCTGATATAAGGAGGCTGATTCATAGTGAGATAGGGAGAGGGAGCATGGGAGGAATAGAAGAACTCTAGATAGGGTAGAGGAGTGGGAGGGGAATGGAGGGGGTATGGGACAATTAATGATGATTGAATGTGATGATCATTATTATCCAAAGTACATGTATGAAGACACAAATTGGTGTGAATATACTGTGTATACGACCAGAGATGAAAAACTGAGCTCTATATATGTAATAAGAATTGTAATGCATTCTGCTGTTATATATAAATTAAAATAAATTTTAAAAAAAGAAATAGATGCTGTCAGAGCAGTCAGGTGCCACATAGGATTATCGGAGCTCAGACTCTATTCTAGTTGTAGTGGAGTGACATGATCTAAATTATGTATTCTAGAAAGCTCACTCTGCCTTCTCTAGAGAATCTGCCAGGGTGAGAGGCAGAATGGAGGCAGGAAGACGAGTTAGGAAGTGACTGCAGTAGTCTAGGTAAGATAATGCAGTTTGGACTAGGTCTGTAAGCAAGAGAGTACTCAATATCTGTGTCTAAGATACACTCAGAAATTAGAATAGACAGGACTTGCTAATATATTAGATATGCCAGGTGTAATATGAATAAAGACTGACTCCTCAGCTTTTAACTTGAACACTAGGTAGATGAATGATGGTATAATTTACTGAGATGGGAAGATTTAAGAATGGAACAAGAGCTCTGTTTGAAACAAAATGCCTATTAAATATCTGAACATAATGAGAAGTGGTTGAATATATGAGTTTGAAGTTCTGACATATAATTTAAGAGATCCAACAACATATATAGTTGATTCTCACTCACAGAGTTATGTTCTATAAAGCCTCCATGAATTAGCAAATACTAAATTGTTCCTAGTGAAAGTATAGGGTTAGGTTCCTGTGAAACTCTTGTGAACATTTTCATCACCTGATCAATACATAACTTTGTTTTATATGTGTTTCTGTTTAAATAAACCTTATTTAATATACATTTTTTATTAATTACCACTGAAATCACTGCCACAAGTCTAACTCATGCCTAAACAAAAACTTATCTCACACATGTATTTTCTCCATAAGACACATTACAATCTTTTTGCACTTAGGAACACTTCGGCCTACACTTTGGACCACCATAAGCAGCAAAATCACAAACAAAAGAYTTAAAAATACAAAAACAATGTACCACCAAATAGATTGTTTCAGCGTGAGCTAAAATAAAAAAGAAGACTATCATGTTATCTACCTCAGACAATAGCACACATCAGAAAACTCAAAATTTTCACTACTTGTGAATGTTCATAAGTGACCACAGAATCAATGACCATAAATCAATATTGAATTGTGGATTACACATAAATTTTATCAAGAAGGCAAATCATCCATACAGAACCTACAAATAATGAGTAACAACTATAAATGGACTTTAAAAGTCTGAGGCAAGGCAGGCCATGTATGGTGGTGCACACCTATAATCCCAGCAGCTSGGGAGGCTGAGACAGGAGGAATGCAAGTTTAAAGCCAGGCTTAGCAACTACGAGGTGCTAGGTAACTAAGTGCGACCCTGTCTCTAAATAAAATACAAACTAGGGCTGGGGATGTGGCTCAGTGGTTGAGTGCCCCTGAGTTCAATCCCCAGTACCCCCCAAAAAAGTCTCAGGTAGGATGCAATCAGAAGAGAAGAAGCAGTAGAAGAGGATAAATCCCTGAAAAAAAAACATTTTCAGAGGTGAAAAAGGAAGAAGAAGAAGACTGGAAAAGAGCACACAGTGAAGTAGAAGGAAAACAAGGCAAGTGTGATAAAACATAGAGGATGAAATCTGTCAAACTTATGATAATTGCACCAAATAATATAAATGTGGTAGGGTGAAGATACAGAACTGAATACTAGCTCCAATAAAATACCAAAAACGGGTGATCTCACCAACAGAGTGACTATATTAGGGTTATCCAGACTAATACAGAAACCAATAGTACAAAGAGAGATATATGGAAAGATTTATTAGGAAGCATTAGCTCATTATGGAAGGTAGGAAGTGCCACTATTTGCCATCTGTAAACCAGAGGTACAGGAAAATTAGTGGTATAGTAGACTCCAAACCAGAAGATTTGAGAACCAGAAGAGCCGATGGTTTGAGATCCAGGTCCAAGGGCAGGAGAAGATGGATGCCCAGCTGGAGGAGAGAGTGAATGGACCCTTCCTCTGCCTTTTGGTTGTATTTAGTCCATTAAAGGATTGCATGCTGCCCTCCCACATTGGGGAGGGTGATCTTTACTCAATCTACAGATTCAAATGCTAATTCCTTCCAGAAATATTCACATAGATATCCCCAGAAATGTTTTACCAAGGGGATCCCCTACCCAGTCAAGTTGACAAAATAAGCTATCACATAGACAAAAGGCCTGCTGGATGAGATGAATAAGGAACAAGAGATGATGCAGATGAGATAGGAGGTACAGATAATCATCAGGGGCTTTACAGAGAAAAGAACTGGGATGTGAGACAATAGCTGGAGAGGAACATGGGATGATTCCAGTCTATGATGGAATTCCAGCGATTATCTATTAGAGATGGAAAACTAGTGTTGTAGAAGATAAAGGGGATAACTACAAGTATGACGTCAAAAGTACAAAAGAATGAGATCTTAAAATATGGAGGGAAGTGATGTTCTTAAGAACCCTTCCATTTTAAAAGGCAATCTTTATAGAAAAAAGGCAATCTTTGTAGATACAAATTCAAGTAGATTGGTGGACTCAGAAATAGGAAGATGAGTTGAYACTCTTCAAAATAGGTCTATTTTCTTAATTAAGTGTAAAGCAGTATCAGCTGAGAGTCACCATGGAAGGGGACCAGTGGAAAYGTGAAGGGTGGGTGCAAAATAGTTGCATGAGAGAATGAAAAGGTGAATTTTGATGTAAGAAAAATAGGACTGTCTACCAGTGTTGGGTACTCATCTAGATTTGTGGTTATGGACAAGAAATGATTCTGCTTGTGTGGTTATACCATCTTCTCCAATAACCAATCAGTCATAAAACAACTAGTCACCATACTCTCAAGTCACAAAATTTGTAGTCAATTCCTTCCTTATATTTATCTTCTTATTAACTCAGAGAGGGTAATACTAAGCAGGAAATTCATAATCAAACCATTAAGAACAGTGTCTCTGATACTACTTGGTACAACTTTGAACATTCTCCCAGAACTTACCCCATCCTCCCATAGGCCTTACTGTACTTTGAATCAATTGCTATTGCTTTTTCACAATCCTTTATTGCATCTGTGTAGTGACTTAATTTGCTTTGAGCAGCAGCCCTAAAAGAAAAATAAAAAGAGATATTTATTGTAAGTAGCTACCGAGACACTAATTTAGATATTCAGGTACTAACAAAGCTACATTTTCCTTATTCCAAATGGTTACTCACTCCTACTAAACTTCTCAGTTATACTAAGATAATTATATGATCAAATTTTTTTAAAAGCTCAGAAAATTCTTTTGAGAAAGCAAATATGCAGGCTTCTTTTCACTCTTTGCTACAGAAAAGATAAAATATATAAGTCATACACTCTATCTACCTACCTACTTACTATTTTTCTAATTTTTCCAAACAGAAAATTGAGACAAACAGGGCACCCGGACACAGAGTGAGTGCATGCTGTGAAGGGCTGCAGATATCACTGTGCAGTCAACTGATCATTTTCATAGTAGGGTTCAAGTACAAATAAAAGCAATACCCCAGTCCACTGACAGACAGATCCTTCCATTTATTCACTTCTGAAACAGACTAAACTTCTTTCAGTCTCCCAGAAGTTCTTATAATCTTGTCCCTCAAGAAAAGGTTTAAAATGTCAAGTTTGGAAAAAGAATATTTCCATAGAATAAAATCCTTGTGCTTGTGAAATCCCCTCAGTAATATTCCCAAGTAGGAATAAGTGACTCACAAGAGAAACAAGGAAGAAAAACAGGAACTCTAAGAAGGATGCTCAGCTAGTCAGAAAGRCATTCATCAAGAATACAAATAAAAATAAATGCTAAAGAGGATGCAGAGAAAAAGGAACACTTTATACTGTTGGTGGGACTGTAAATTAGTACGATCACTAAGGGCATCAGTTCAGAGATTCCTCAAAAGACTAGGCATGGAACCATCATATGACTCATCWATACCACTCCTTGGTATTTATCCTGAAGAATTAAAGTCATCTTGCTACAGTGATACATGCCTGCCCAGGTTTATAGCAGCACAATTCACAATAGCCAAACTATGGAACCAATCTATCAACAGATGAAAAGATAAAGAAAATGTGGTATATGTGCCACATGGTGTTTTATTCAGACATAAAGAAAAATGAAATTGTCATTATGTTAAGCAAAATAAGTCAAACTCAGAAGATGAAGGGTCTTATGTTTACTCTCCTATGTGGAAGCTACAGAGGAAAAAGAGAAAGATGGGAGGTCAGAATCTAATGAAAATCAAAGGGAGATAGTAAAGAAAGGGAACAGGGAGAGAAAAGGGGAAAGTACTGGAGAGTGATATAGGGAAATTATATTGTGTGAATGTATGAATATGTAACAACAAATCTCATCATTGTGCACCAATAAAAAATGTGGCAAGGGCTSGGGTTGTGGCTCAGTGGTAGAGCACTTGCCTAGCATGTGTGAGAACTGGGTTTGATTCTCAGCACTGCATAAAACTAAATAAAATAAACATCCATTGATAACTAAAAAAAAATTTTTTTAATGTGGCAAGAAAAAAAAAGAAGAAAGATTCCTTTCAGGAAACAAGTGGAATGCCAGCAGCTAAAAATCAGTAGATGCATGAGCAACAGTGATCAGGTGCCAGGGCCATGTGTCATAATTACTTCTTATAATACCCCCACAAAGCACAGTGCTGTAGCCCCGCTGCCTCATACAGGAACTCCAAGGCCTAGGTCCCTTCTATTAATAAAGGCTAAGGAAGCACTTTCTGAAAACTTATGCTTGCAAGCTTAGAAACTGACTTTCCTTTATGTTGAGTCTGCAGACAAAAGGCCTCTGAAAATACCCCACACTATCCCAAACTCCCTGACATCACTGTCCCCTCCCACTGCATGCTGAGAAGCACTACTCTCATTTTTACTTTTATTTACCTTTCTTCTTCTCCTATAATTTCATTTGTTGTTTTAACTATGTTAAAAAAAAAAGTTTTGTTTAACTGCCCTAACATCTGCTTCCTTGAAATTAGCCAAAGGTAACTTCTTTCAGGGACTTACCTGAATTCTAGTAAGCACACATGAAAACAATGAAACTGACTAAAATGTAATTTATCTCCAAGTTTTAACACTTGCTGATCCTCAGCATTCCTTAAGTATTTTCTAATCTCCTATCCTTTAAATTATAGATTTAGCATTATTTAATACTGCTTTCTATATCACATCAAGTTTATTATTATGCTTCATAACTACTGAAAGGACATGAAAATAGATTAATTATTTATTAGATCKCCATGAACAGAATGTATTATGTAAAATGAATCCTGGAGAGAAGTGGTAAAAGTAAGATTGCCAATCCTGGAAGTTGAACCTGGAACTATAAATCCACCAAAAATTCTTAAAGAATTAACCATATAAKAGGAAGAAAAAGAAAGSGGAACAGGGGCTGGGGTTGTGGCTCAGTGGTAGAGTGCTCGCCTAGCACGTGCAAGGCCCTGAGTTTGATCCTCAGCACCACATAAATAAATAAAGRTACTGTGTCCAACTACAACTAAATAATAAATACTTCAAAACAAAAGAAAGGGGAACAGATAGTTCTGATCAACAGGACAGTTCCTTGGGAATTTCTCCGTRCAAAGGTGTCAATCAAAGATCACCCAATAGATAAGGTGACACCCTGCTCAAGGGAGATTCTATGCCAGCCACGAAATTCATTAGTTCATAGGCTCAGGTGCAAATGCTGCCCTGAGGTAGAGAGTTACGGGCATAAGCTGATAAGCTCTAATGGGGCTGTTTTACCCACAACTTCAGTTTTGTTTATCTTAAAGAAGGTTTCTCACAATAAATCCTTTTGATGTTTAAACCTATATAATAAATGTTCTGAGCCTGCTTATAGTCAGTCTTCTTCCATCAGAAGTTTGGCTGATCCACTGGGTTCCACTTTTTTTGTACTTTTGTGTGTGTCTCTCTTTTTCCCAATCCCCTCACCATCTGGTTTGRGAAAATGAATAACCATCTGTGGGCCGTTACACTGAGGAATTCCCATAGAGGCAGGCCTCCGCAGAGCAGATTAACAACACATGAGTCTGGGTCACTTATATTCCCCATCTAATGCAAGTACTCCAGGCCTATATGCATTTATTAAAGTTATATTGTRTAAAATTAACAAGCTTCCAGACAAGTTGAGGTTTTCCTTTTAGAGCAGTTTAACTCTGGGAAATTTTTCAAATCCAGCCTTCACCAGATTATAGACATGTCAATGGCTGACACACRCATACAAACTCCCAAAAAATAGATTTCAAAAGAACTCACACTGGCCTGGGAGTGTAGCTGAAAGGTAGAGCACTTGCCCAGCATGCAGGGATCCTGAGTTCAATCCCCAGCATTAGGGGAAAAAAAAAAAAAAAGCCATGAATCATACTTACGCCCAATTCGGCTTTCTAAATTACAATACATTCAGAACCAAAACTGTGTATCATAGCAATAATAGGGGAGGAATGAGGTGTTGGCTCAAGACCAACATCTCTTCCTTGGATGATTTTATATTTTGGTCCACAGAGCCAGGAAGATGTCCTGGAAGCTTTCAAATCTACTTGGCTATTCCACCTGCTGTTTGAGTTGCCTAAGGAACATTTCTGAAAGTAGATTAATGTCTTAAATCTTGCCAACTCAGGAAGTTGAATCTGTGATTACAAACCTACCAAACCAAATTTCTCCTATGAAGTAACAACATTACTGGGAAGAAAGGAGGAGTTAATAGCCTAAGCTTTAAGACAGGTTTTTAAAAATGATTTTATTATACCTAAGTACAGACCCTGGGAGAGGGACTTGTACAGCTAAGTATGCAATCTATATGAAGTCCAGATCCTATAGGAAAGGCAATTCTGACTCCTTATTCACAGGCCTTGAATCTGATATATCATGGACATCTCATTCTGTATATCTGCAAAAGGTGATTGTGTAGAACTGCAAATGCCCAGTCTCATTTCTTTCTGCTAAGGATCTTTTATTCCAATCAGTGTATGTGGCTACACACATGCATATAAAAGGTATGAAGGGTAAAGGTATCAAAAAAAAGGATGGAGGTAGGGACATTCTGAAAAGGGTACACAGAGAAACAATGACGTGGCTTAAAACAACAACAACAACAAATCTCTAACTAAATATGTACTAAATGCCTTCAAGAAACTAAAAGGAATTACTTATATTTTGATAACTGAATTTGAATTTTTAAAAATATAATCAGAAATCAAATTCTAATACATACAATTTACCATACTCTCAATGTTATATACCAAAAGTTTTCAAAGGGAACAATAAAACCATGTGGATTGTATTTTAAGCCATTAATGTATAAATACATTCTGAATTTAATGTTGACTTTATGTATTTCTATTGTATTTCTTTGCTTAATTTTTTTTTCAGTGCTGGGGATCAAATTCAGGGCCTTGAACATGCAAGCAAGTAAGTACTCTACAACTGAGTTACACCTCCAGCCCTGCTTAATTAAATTGTATCGTTAATAAATGTATATTCATGCCCTAATACACTAATCCTCATTCTAGCATTCTCWCACACATCATTAACATACATAAGACTATCTAAGAACAAATAAATAAAATCTAAAAAGATTTATCAAGTCTAAGATGAATAATAAAACCTTAATGTGCCAGGTGCAGTGATACACCTGTAATCCCAGCCGTTTGGGAGGCTGAGGCAGAAAGATCTTGAGCTCAAAGCCAGCCTCAGCAATTCAGCAAGGCCTTGTCTCTAAATAAAATATACAAAAAAGTGTGGGTGGGCTTGGGTTGTGGTTCAGTGGTTGAGTGCCCCTGTCCAACCCCTGGTATCATGAAGAAAAAAAAACTTAACTATGTACCTAAATCCAGGTATAAATTAAGGATGGCAATGTGTTCCACCCACTTTGCACAGAATCTCAGAGCAACTGGGGACCATTTATCTGATCTGTTAATGCCTGCTGTATCACCTCTACCTCAAAACTCTGTGGGAGCCAGGAGAGGTGGCACACACCTGTAATTCCAGCAGCTCAGGAGGCTGAGGCAGGAGAATGGAGAGCTCAAAGACAGCCTCAGCAATTTAGAGAGGCCCTAAGCAACGGATTGAGA